GCCAGCGAGAACATACCTTGTCCGAGTAACAGTAACAAGGACGCCAGCGACATGAAAGCAGAAGGGAAGAAAAGCTAACCGGGCAGTATAGAAGGAAGAGACATGAAAAGGGAGGTTAGATGTAGACTAAAAAAAAAAAACCCAACCCAAACGCAGAAAGCTGTTACCAAGCTAAAACAGATGAAGAGGTCTGCAAAATCGACACTGACACAGAAAACACCCAGGCCGAGCTGAGCTGTCCTTCAAAGCCCCCCAAATTCATGCTACTTTTATTTATTAAAGCTTCTGGCTGACAGATACTCCCGACAGATATGCGGAGAAGAAAGATCCAGAAAAGGAGTAATGTATGGCTGAAGTCTAGCCTTGTTACAACAGCTTTTGCTGCCAGCAGCTAACAAACACAGGGTAAGAGGTTAAGGCACAACTGTTTGGTAGGGCTTTGCCTTGCCCGAATGGATAGTGTGCACTAAATACACTGTATGAAGTGTTTTTAATAGGTTGGTTTCTTCCTACTATATGGAGCCGCGAGTGACTCACGGAACAGACTGATTAAGGTATGACCAGCTTTTTCAACCGTGAAACACCTTCATCTGCTGTGAACATGGCTCAGAGGTTTTGTATGAATTTATTAAATCATGAGCCAGGGATACCTGGTACCTGCAGATGATATGGGGTACTTAAAAATATAGAAAAGGCTACAGAAATTTTTCCCTTCACTGCTGGAGATTCTTTCTTAACTACAAAAGAAAAAGTTTAAACAAAAGTTTAAAGAGAACAAGCATTCATATTTCAGTCCCAAGATGTTTTATATCTTAGAAATCTCTTCATGCCCTGGCCACACCAGTATTTTCTAAGTCCAAAGTAAGAACAACATTGCTTCAACAATAACAATGTGAAAGTAAATCCCTGATTGCACACCACGTAATCATGGATGTAACATACTGCACCCGTGAAGTACATCGGGTTGGGATAAGAATTTGAATCCTTTCTGCAGGGTAGTCTTGCACCCATTTCCCACCTCAGCCTTAAAAGAAATCGGGTCATCTCACCACCACAGAACATAACAAAGAGGACTTAACTGGGACAAGACCTCCTTTCCTCAAGCTGTCATCAGCAAGTGCCGGGTGTCTGGCTAGAAGTCCTCTCCTACAGGCACAGAGCTCCTTGGTTTCAACTTGTCATTGTGTTTGTCCTGATGATATAGTGTCAACGGCTGTACTGAAATGGAAAACAAGGCAACCTGTTGCTTCCTCTGAACAGTTTCCACAGCTTGCTTTCTTTGGAGTGTCCTCTTCTGCCACATGATGTTTCTTACGGCTCTTTAGGCAAAGTGGGATGATCTAAACCACCTGAGACCATCAGCCCTCAGACTGCTTCTTGCCAATGGGTTGCTGGTCTGCATTTGCCAGGTTTCTTTCCAGATGTCCGTATTTTGAAATACTAGGCCTCAAAACGATCACATCATTTAGGAAGGAAGTTCCCGACAGTCTGAAATGGGGGAGGCTTCTGGCATCTTCTCACAGAAGTCACTCCTGTGGCCCCCCCCACTGCCAAAACCTTGCCACGCAAACCCAATACACTGTTTCAGGTGGCAAGAGTGTGGGGGATTGGGTAGTAAACGTATTACTGCACCCACAGTAACAGATACAAACAGAACAATGCCCTTCCTGAATTCATTTGTCATCAAACATCGTTAAAGATATAACCACGAACCACATTTTAAACAAAATGTAAATAAGGAAGTTAGCAAGAAACAGAAGAGAAAACCCAAAAAAGTTTATAACTACCATCAGACTTCTTTCCTAGGTCTTAAACCTATTAAATGATGCTGCCTCTCAGGACAGGATCTTAAAACTAGCTGGCAGGAAGGCTGGAAATACAATTTGTGCTTCTTCCAGCTTCTGTCCCCAGCTGTTTAAAAGTTAATGCAGCAAACAGCATTTGCCCTTCTAGCTTGATGAGACAGAAATTGCCCCTTCTCCTGTTTTTATTCTTCGCTTTTAATGCATTCTGCACAGATGAACGTATTCAGTACAAGAGATGTAAATAGGCTAATCCCCATTTTTATACACATGGCATACAGCTTACATTACCATTCCATTTTTAAATAAACAAACACTCCTGATTAATAATCTCATAATCAACAAGGAGTCTTTAAGATTTCTACAGCATGTCATAGCTGATTTAAGTATCCTTTATTGTATATACATCTTAGTAACAGCGCAATCTCTGCTTTTAATATTCCAGAAACACCATGCACAATCATTAATGGCAAGTCTGGTTAAACTGCAATTTCCCTCATTTTTTGAGAATTTGCTGCAGCACAGCACAGAACACGGAATTCCCCAATTTGTATCCTCTTCCTTTCTTTGCTGCCTGCAAATTCCAACAATACTTTAACTGAATTCTAAAGCCATTTCCATGTATTTAAAAATTAAGTATAGTAAAACAGAAGAAAATGGTTCAGTGACATTTTGCCTGCCAGTAGATTTCTTCTTTAGCTCACAAGGTTAATGAGACATCACCTCTTCATACTCGTTTCCTGCTGGCTTAGGTTCTCAGACCTCATGACAGAAAACTGTGCCATTTCACTATCTTTCTGTTTTCCTGAAGCAAAATGACATCATTCAGAGCATGTGAATTAAGATTTTTAAAAAGAAAACAGTGATAATTACCTTTTTATTCATAACAATGGAAAAGGTAACTATAAATTCATGAAATAGCTACAGGAAAACAGTAATTATTAATGGCAAGAAGTCCATGTGAAAGCTTCTGAGTAATTATGAAGACAGAAACAATCCAAAAGGAATTGAAAAAAATAAGGTTTATGGGAGGAGGGGAAAAAAAAAAAAAGTGGCTGAAATGGAAAAATGCAAGTAAACATAAAATATAAAAGGAAGAAAAACTAGGAGACCTGAAAAAGACCCCAAAATGGCACTGCACAGAAAGTTAAGAGTGAGCAAGGGCCATGATGTGGCCAAAAAACACATCGATGAAGTTTGCAAAAAGCATCATTTCATAGAGCAGAAAATTATTATTTCTCCTCTTCAGGGGTCTGTTTACTACTTCAGAATATGATTTCAGTTTTGGATTGCTGTTCCTTGGAGTATTTTTGTATTGGATTTGGCTCAGCTGATCAGAACAAATGCCATCAACTTCATAAAATAATGATAATTATTAAGACATGACTTAAACACCCAAACATATGCATGTTTCACAAATGAAGGTACAGGATTGAATGGTAAAAGGTTTTCAAGGATTTTCAAGGACATATATTTGTCTTCGGTACTTTCAAACATCTCATATCTAGTTGGGGTTGAGCCAGCGTTAAAAAAGAAGTGCATAAATCACAAAAACTTCACACACTTTGAATACACAAAGTAATGCAAATATTTATACGCTATTCTGAAAGGTTAAGCTACACAGAAAACTGAACTTGCAGTTAATCTTCAAACATTGTACTTTAATACACTATTCAGTATCTTACAACCAAATACAACCCTTAGTTAAAATATTTGTAGTCTAAATGGATTTAATAGCAAAACTTGAAGCTTGTTAGTTATAAAGTGATAAGACAAACTTAACTTCATACGGTGTGTAATACATATCAATTTATACAGCTTTTTTCATCATATTCTTGCAGAATCTTATAAGGCATTTAAGGGTCTGCTCCAACTCTGTGCATTTTTTGACTTTGATTAGTTAAAATTAATGAATCCTTTGAATTAATTCTATAGAAATGGTGTTTCCACCAGAAAACAGAGAAGTCTGGAATTACTTTCAGCGTTTGTTAAAACCTGTTCCAGAGAACAACCAGCAAAGATGTGCACAGGCAGCCAGATTAGAAAAGGAGTATTAACCCCAGTATTTACATCTGTTAACAAAACTAACTCGGTTTTTAGAATGTTCAGATAACTTACTAGAAAAAATCACTTTTTGAAAAGCACAAGCAAATGAAAACAGGTTTAGAATCACATCTTTTCTATTCCTTTTACTAGGTATTTTTTAATATATCTGATTTATTAAGTTTATAATATTGCTTTAATATATTGCAATATTAATTCTATAAGGCCTTGCTATTTGTCTCCTGCCACCGATGATAAAGCTAGGTATTTTATAACAGAGGTACCATTCATCTCTTCACACTCATTCCATTTTATTAACTCAGCACCTACCTATCAGGTTTTTTTTTTTAAATTCCCACAAAGCAGAATACGAAAAAGCGTTAGTTAACTGACTGTAACATTGCTTTAAACTTGTGTTACCACTTTTTTTAAAAAAAGAAGGAAGAATTAGTTCTTATTTTATGTATCGTCTGAGCTCATCAATGTATTTTTTTCCTGCAGCAACTGTGTAGATTAAAAATCTTCTTGAGCAATCTTGCAAAACTTATAAATTGCTTCTCCATCTGACGCTGGGAGACGCCTCACATACTGTTAAGAAAATAAGACCATAGTAAGTCACAAACTAACACCTAGATGCTATATATAAACATCAGACTATCTCAAACTTAACCTGTACACGCATATGTATGTCTGTACATGTAATTTTTAAATTAAAACTATTGGAACTGTTTCCTTCAGGCCAATGTTGAGTTTTAATAGAAGATGATAAACATTAACTGTTTCACAATGTAAGCTAGCAATATGAAGAATGATTAACAAAAAGGTTTAATAATCCCACAGTTATTTAAAGTTCAGAATATTAAAATTTCTAGATATTAGAAGATTTGAGGTAGCAGAGCATTTGTTGCATTTTCTGAATTTTATGAACTTTAGAGAAAAAAAATCTGTGCTGCTAAATTAAGAACAGTAAATTATTTTTATCTCTTCGCCAGCTGTGTTTTAAAAATGTGAAACAATGAGCAAGATATTTGGATCCAAACATGGGAGAAAGCTTACATACGCACATTGTGCCATGCTCCTGTATACAAGACATTATTTTTCTGTTTAAAGTGAGAAAAAGCAAATCGGTAAAGGCAGTATCACTCCTAACTGAAGTGATAAAAGTTATGCACCAACATACACTGCAAGCCCTGGAATGAAGTGGTGAATTAATGACTGCAGCACACAGCATATGGCCATAATTTGCATGGAGCAGCTCTCTCGTAACATTGTAACACGCCCATCACATTCATTACTGATACTGACAACGTGTTTCTTTGGAAAAAAATTTTGTGAAAATTAAGCAGACAGTGTTATGACTGCCACTCAAGTCTTCCATAATGAGAACAAAACTTGAAATACTGCAACTCAGACTATGTGGAAAGGACACCATTATCAAAACCAAATGAACAGGTAACATGAGTACGCAAGCATTTGTATGCTACATGCTCAGAACCAACAGAATCAGTTTTCCTTAACAGATGTCCTTAATTTGAACTGAAAAACTGACAAAAGGTCATACGGTGTTAAGTGTTTATCATGGATCTGGGTCTAAGCTTGTATTTAAAAAAATTAACAACTGTTTCCACACGGCAGAGGTCAGCACAGGAAAACCCCAAGTGTTCTGATGAGGTTGCTTTCCTCCTCCTCTGTGAGCACAACCTGACGATTAAAAACCAAACCAAACCAAACAACTTTAAAGGGCACTTCTTGTGCTTCGTGGAAAGCAGGAGCACACACCTGAATCAAGGACCTCCAGCCAGAGTAGAAGAATCACAACAATTCTGATTGGTATCTCCTCAAGTTATTTAAACTTTTCAATAATTTCAAGCAGTTGCTACTTTGTGAACAGATATCTGACTGAAGCTCTGTGTCTGCTGTCTCTTCAAAATTCAAAGGTGGTTTCTGAGGAAAGCTGCGCTATTTTTGTCCAGTAAGCATGAAAAGTGTGTTTGGGGAAAAAAACCCACAAAAAACCCAACAAAAAAACTGGCTTAACAGTTGAAAGTCACTAGCTTACTCAGACAAATTAATTCCTGGACATTTAAGATGTGTACACACAGTCTTCTGTAGGAGAGACTGCAAACCTACCTTTAAAGAGAAAGTTAAGTTATGCACTACTTCATCTAAACAGAAAATGCTGTTGCTTGAGCTACTTTGGCAGTGAAAGGGAAGGGATAAATAGTCAATAGCATCTGATACCCCAGAGGAATCTTGTGGAGCCAAACTGGAGGAATATGTAGGCCAATAATGTATGTTAATAGCCAAGAATTGAGATCACATTTAAAAGCTGGCGCAGTACATATCCTGTTGGTAAGCTTCCATGGCATTCTGCACAAAATATGCTTAAAGACATCATTTTCTGAGCTTCAGTAATGACTGTATTCATGTGACTCTAGTCTATTTTCTTTGAATTACAAAAATTAAGTCTCAGTTGTTCAAACAATTAGTACCTAGTAGCTGATTTATCATTAAAATAAACAGGTCTACCTTGGAAAAAATACACTAATTTCATGTTGTTATTCAGGTTGGTAAATGCTGAAAATCTGAAACAGTTTTAAATATTCGTATAATTATTTACTTGTAAGTATAGTCCTGGGTGCAGTTATGTAATGTACAGAAAGAAAATATTTTCCTTAGCTTCTGGCTGAGTAAGGTTTCCAAATGCACATGCCATTACAGAAACAGAATACTTCACCTTGTTCATTAAAAGTAAAGGCAAAATGCAAAACCAGCAAACTAAATATAGTTGCTCTACTTAAGTACTGTACAAATCAGAAATTGTAAAAATTTACACTGAATGACTGTAACCATCTCTAGAACACATATATACAACAATACACATTTAGGAAAGGCAGAAAGATAAAGTGTAATCCCATAAAATGCTATGTGCGTGCGTATTTAGGTATGAATTTCAGAAAATACACAAAGGTATAAATGCTAGCATTATGAATGTATTCCATGGTATGTTTTAAATCAAAATTTAAAGGTATATGCATTGCAATAATCTGTGCTCTAAGCATGTCAGAAATACTTTACAGAATATTTTCTAAAAGTTTGGAAATACCGTATAATCATAGGCTTTTTGTATATAATCCTACTTCAAATTGTCTGAAGGACAGCTACTACAACTAATTGCATTTTTTCCCCCCCCCAGGAAACAATGTACTAAAATATAATGAGAAACAGTACATAGAAAATCAAAATGAAAATTACCCTCCTTCCACCCCTCCATCCACAACTTACCCACTTTTCCTTCTTTTTCCAACTTCAGCAAGTGGACCATAAGGTTCCATTCTGCTGCTGGATGTAAATTTTCAGGGATCTCCTAATGGAAACACAAATATGCATTTCGTATTTGTTTAAATATCTCCCAACTATTTTTTCAATAGACAGAACTCATAGTTTATTAACATAGATTTTCCTCTCCTGAATTGCCATGTTGAACATTCCGTTAGTTATATAATGACAACAAACTGAAATTAGTAAATCAATTTCACACCAGTTAAACTAGTAGCCTAATAACACACTTTTGTTTGCTTTGCTAATTTTTTGCATTATCCATTTGCATTATGCAAACTTTGGCCAACACTAAGAAGGCTGTGCTCTTCTGAGCTTGGTCTGCACTGGGTTATCAGTGTAGCTGAACATTTTTAAAGACAAATTTAAAGCTGCATTTCTCCACAGATACCTATCACTTCTATTCCATGACAATATTTGCGTGGGTTTAAATATCCTTAACAATCAGTATCTGTAAATGAGTAAACAATTTAAAAATACAACAGCTTTAGGAGGACAAAATGTCTCTTAAAATTTCCCAATGCTCATAAGGTAAAAACCAGTAACATTTCTCAAAATCCCCCTCTCCAGCACTATCTTTGTAAAAGTAAAGCCTTCTTTTTGAAAATTAAAAAGCTCTTCTCCAAATAACAAGAGTCTGGCAGGAAAAGTCACTAGAAAACTAGCTCAGTAAGTTGTGAATCTTTAAAAAAAACTTTGAAAGATTATACTTCTTTTTTAATATGAAAGGTTTAGTAGTACTGAAAAAATTCTTACAGCGATAGGACAAGTGGTTTGTGATCTACAGAAACATGTGAATGACTGTATACTTAAAAAATGTAGTTGTTCAGGCAGGAAAACTGCAGGAGCTAAACAGCCACAGGTAACGGTACTTCAGCATCACAAAACGTTCAATGTGACATAGTCTTTCTTTTGGAAACTGGGGATCAGCAGAACCATGACAAATGAGTTGTGAAGCTGTTACAGACCTGTTCACAAACCAAACCATGGCAACCCCCATACCACATGTACAAATTACTGAGGTTACATGAAGAACGATGAAATAGTGAAAAAGTACTCTTATGCCTGTCTAATGACACACGCAAGCTGCCCAACTTCTGAGTGCAATATCCATCTCTTTGAAACTGCAGTTCACCTGCATCCTCCTGCAGACTGATGAATCAGGAAGTAGAAGTTTTAACCAATCTTTCCGGAGACTCCAAACACACTTTGACAAATCAAAAATTAACAGTCATCTCACACTCTTCCCTTAGAATCAAGCACCTCAACTTTATTTTCGCTTGGTCGTATGAAACAGTGCTTAGGACCATCTAGACACCGAAATAAGAAGTTCATAAGCATCATCTGGGCCCCACTCCAATGAACTGCTCAAACAATACAATTTAAATGTGCAGTCATATATGAATTCTGAACAAGCAGAAATTTTTTCTTTTTTTTCCTCTTTTAAAAAGCCACCGTGGTCTTCACTCAAATATTTAAAACTGTTACATACAATTTTATCAACGTAACCTCAATTTTCTTTAGTTTGATCTAAAAACTTTTAATCAACAATTACCTCATATACTATCTTTACAAGCTCCAAGGATGTATATGATTTTCCAGCATTCTTCTGCAAAACATTTAGAATTTGCTGTTCACGTGCTGTTCGGTGAGAAATGTAGCCTCGGATTCTAGCACCTACATCACGTACTACTGGGCCATGACCTAAATCAAAACACATGTACCAGAGCACTATTACTTAAATTTGGAATTAAGTATGTTATTGAATAAATAATTGCATCATCCTTAAGTAAAGTCTGGTAGACTTAAAAGTCGTAAGAAGGGAGCAGCACCTATACACACCGCCCTGTCAGAGTATCCTTGATGTTAAATTGTAAGACACTCTTTGCATGGTTTTTGGTTTGGTGTCGTTGTCGTCCCCCCCAAATAGGCCAGAATTCAGTTTGAATGTCTGCACCACAGTCTGCAACTGAAAAGCATTAAGATGGAAAGGAAGAATTAGGATCTGAAAAGTCTGAATGGGGAAAGGGACTACTTCAGATAGAATAAGGAAAGCAAGGAAAGACTACTTCAGGCTATTAAAAAACAAAAGGAAAGGAGTTCACTGCTGAACAGATTTGAAAGATGAGATTCAGATTATTATATCACCTCTGTCTGCCTGTCTCACTCTCCCCAAAGGATATTGATACTGATGATTTAAACTGATACCAGTCTTTGAACAGTAGTGGCTGAAGCAAAGGACTCATGCTACTGTCCTGTTGTAGGGCTATTGAGCAAACACAGAGGCAAGAGAATTAACATCTTTAATTGTGACAGATAAATTTTCCAGGACAGATTTTCAAAACTCACACACTGTACTTTATTCCCCTAAGAACATACTTTCGTAAGTCTGATCAAAAAAATTAATAGAAGACAAATCAGTGAGCCAATCTGAATGTGTCAGGGCAAGAATAAGCAATGCACAAGGAAGGTTATATATAGATCATTTTATGTCTGGCTGGTTAATAAACGAAACACACATGTCTTTTCCTGGACTTATTGTGGCAGATCAGAAATGTTCAACTTTGAATCAAATTAGAAAAAGGCTTAACTGGTAAAGCACTAACCTTTGTGGAAAAATCAAATACTGCCTCATGACACACTAAAGTGGCAGATGAAGTGAAAGTATTTTTCAGACATGAGAGATACACGCACAGAAATTAAACCTAATGTTTTACCTATAGAGAAATTTACTTGCATGAATATTTGTCACATGCTTTTTATAGCAAGGTTTCCTATTTCTTTGCCTGTATACCTCACCTGAAGTAGCATCAGCAACTTCCAGATCTGCCAGTCTAAATTCCAAGTAATTTATAAAATGAGTAGAACAGAAACTACTGTAAAAATAATAGCTTTCTTTTAGAAGTTATTGGGTATCATACAAAACAGAGAGTTTCTTTTGAGGTTCTCTGACTACTTTTAAAAAATCATCATATTCTTTACTTCTTCTTTTGGGTTAACTGACTAAAAGGGTTTTTAGTTTTAAGGCTTTTAAAATCAGAGCTTATTTTGCCTGAGGACAGGCACCTTATAGAAAAAAGGCAACTGACAAACATTCAGCCTTGGTGAATGTGTTATCTAGGTAACTAATGATTAAGGAGAGCGTGAAATACAACAGATAAAACTGATAAACCCAATAGAATTTGGCATATATGGGGTTTTGGAAGGCAGAAATTCAATTAGAGGAACAGACTGTGTTTTGCAGATATTTAAGAAAGTAAGTAGAATGCTTGACTGATCAACAGATTGAGATTCTGGAGGCTAAAATACTCTTAGTTTTGCCAGTAGTTAAGTCAGTAACTATGAGCAAGTCACTATTTCTGTCTGTGTCAGCCTCCATATCTATGGAATTATATTTTTCTTAAATACATTGTTATGCTTACATCGTAAAGCACTTAAAGAACACCTACTTCAAAAGAAGCATATTGTAAGAATGAACACAAACCAGATTTGGTTATGTAGGCTAAACGTAGATGGCTAATGGCGGAAGACAGAACTGAGAATGCAGACACAGTTGCTCAGAATGACAAGTTGAAGATGATGAAACACTAAGTCAGAAAAAATCCTGAGATGTAGCTCTGAAAAAAGCAAATGAGGAGCTTAAACCTTAGTTACCTAATGAATTCTTAAAATCCAGCCTTGTCAATAGACACGTGGTTTATATGAAAAGTAAATGCATTTCCAAGGTTTGGGGGAGATACAGGAAAAAAATTGAAGCAAAGTCATAGACTGAATGAATCGGTGACTTATTTTTAGAACATGCTGTTTGACCTCTTGGCTCTTGTTCAAATTCAAGCTAAGTCATTAACTAAAAACCATTTGACAGTTCTGCAGCTTTCCAAGATGAATTTGTGATTAATCTGTGCTGCAAAGGACAGATATCTCTCTCAAAAAACATTACCACGTCACTCACATTGGCAGTGTATGTGGGGATGCAAAGGACCAAAAGAACAACTATTATTTTTTCTTCCAGGGTAACATTAAGGCACATGGACAGAGTAACATAAGAAAACATAAGAAAAGAAAATTTCTTATATGATTCCAACAGTGAAAGATTCTGGCCTCTGTAGGCTTTGGTCACAGAAGCACAAGATTCACTCTCAAATGGAGAAATCTCAGGAAGGAAAGATATCTATCGCTGAAAATTTTTCAAGTCTTGCAAACCACCATGCCATAAAGTTAGCTTAGCACTGGACATATATTAAGTAATGAACCTGAATTGTTACATTAGTAATAGTAGTTAAGGAGATATTTAGATATTACATAGTAAAACAGAGCAGTTAAAAATAGAACCACCTACCTGGATATATTAAATCTACTTCCATTTGTAACAACCTTTTCAAAGTTTTCATGTAATCATGCAGGTCTTCAACTACTGTTGTTCCTTGCCCTAAAATACAGTCACCGGAAAACACAGCATTTTCTTCTTCTAGATGTAAAGCCATATGATCATCAGTGTGTCCAGGCGTATGTAAAACTCTGTTTAAAGAACAACAACAAAAAAGCATAAGTTTTTTTACACAGCATCTATATGCTTCGTTTTCAGAAGCTGGAAACGAATGATGATGAAATTATAAAGTAGCCCTCAACAAGAACCAGAAAAAAATAGACCAAAAAAGGCTAAAATGTCGATGTAAACAGGGTATCATTTTGTGTAATCCCAGTCCATTTTCTTATACCACGTAGAGGACACAGATCATCATCTTTAATGTGCTTTTACCTACATGACACACATAATAAAAGTGCATTAAGGGAGCTGGCTGGTCATGTAGAATTTGTGTTATAGCGGACTTTACTCTGAAGCTTTAAAAAAGAAAAATTCACATGTGTGAAGTTAACTATAAACTTCTGGACCCAACCCAGATAAAGTTCTGTCTCCCAGAATTTATTTTTCCCTGAAAGCCCCATGACACAGTGGAGCAGAGCTGTCAGATACAACAAGGAATCATGGTCTTTCAGCTGTTCTACGTGCAGGTTGTTAAACATCTGAATGGTAAGGATTTAGGACCCCACAGCATTAGAATGCAGCAAAGGGGGAACAGACAGTTGGTATGTATATAGTAACCTGAGCTGCTAAGGAGCTGCACTGCAGTGTCCTTTCACTACAATTTTGGAAAGGCAGAAGGCCTCACACTGAGGCTGATTCAAACTGGAAGTAGGCAACTCAGACCAGCATCACTGCTGAAATCTTGTTAATGGCAGATGCATCAAAGTAGTGATCAGGAACTGACAGAGCTGGTGCCAAGCATGGTGTACAGGCCAATGCTAAACAGCACCCAGCCACCTCAAGTGCAGGTTTGGAAGGCCAGAAGCGCAGCACCATCTGATGCAATGACTTTACAGCTCGTACTGAGTTCAGCAGAAAGCAGGTGGGCCATTGCCCTGCATAGGCAACGTAAAAATCAAGCTGACGGTTTGCAGCTTGCCGTTGTAGGAAGTGGTGTCCTCCAGTTCCTGATGAAACTTTATGAGGAAGCTTAACCACTAACATGGAAAAACAAAGGAAAAAGAACCCAACACTGCCTGGCATACCTTGAAAACTTGAAGGCTGCAAACTAAAATTTAACATGCAGATACTGCTATTTTGGAACCAGTGGTAGATCTAGGAGTATCCTTAAAGTGCTTACTGAATTAACTGGGTGAGAATACCTGCTTTTAACCAAGTATAAAGTTTGGCTCCATTACCCCAAACTTCAAAATCAGCCACCCCTGTCCTACTTGGACTCAAATTTACCAAGTTGTTTTCTATCTCTAAATTGATTTTGTCCAAACATGGGACACTTAGGGTAGTGACAGGTCTTCAATATTCAATATAATAGTCTCCATGTATTTTTTTTTTTTTTACACTAACAAAATAAAGTGCTTTTGGTCAAGTATATCCTTTATTTTTACATTTTTTCTTCCAATCAGCCAGCTGGCATATTCTACAAGTGGGATATAATTCACACCTAAACCAAGGAAAACAAACAAAATTTGTCCTTAGAAGAGTAATGCCTTGTTAATGAAAGAACTCTGGAAACAGAGCGGTCAGATCTTTTAAGTGTGTGTGCGTGTGTGTTTGCGTAAGGCAGAGTGGCTTTCTGTTTCAGACTCATTCATGCTAACAAGACAGGCAATATGCTGTCTACCCCACAAGAACCTGACAGATTAAAGGTTTAAAATTTAACATTGTAAGTATTAAATGTTTTAGTGTCTCCTTGGGAAATATTTTCAAAGTAAAAAGAAAAGCATGCTAAATAATCCATCCAGACTACCATAAACTTCCCCAAAAGTATCAACTTTAATAATAAACTACTTATCTAAGAGTGATCCCTCAGGGGTCCGTACTGGGACCGGTGCTGTTTAACATCTTCATCAATGACATAGACAGTGGGATTGAGTGCACCCTCAGCAAGATTGCAGATGACACCAAGCTGAGTGGTGCGGTTCACACGCCAGGAGGACGAGATGTCATCCAAAGAGACCTGGACAAGCTGGAGAGGTGGGCCTGTGTGAACCTCATGAGGTTCAACAAAGCCAAATGCAAGGTCCTGCACCTGGGACGGGGCAACCCCCAGTATCAATACAGGCTGGGGGATGAAGGGATTGAGAGCAACCCTGCAGAGAAGGACTTGGGGGTACTGGTGGATGAAAAGCCGGACATGAGCCGGCAATGTCCCCTTGCAGCCCAGAAAGCCAACTGTACCCTGGGCTACATCAAAAGAAGCGTGGCCAGCAGGTCGAGGGAGGTGATTCTGCCCCTCTACTCTGCTCTGGTGAGACCTCATCTGGAGTACTGCGTTCAGCTCTGGGGCCCTCAGCACAAGAAGGACACTGGACCTGTTGGAGCGGGTCCAGAGGAGGGCCACCAAAACGATCCGAGGGCTGGAGCACCTCTCCTACGAGGCCAGGCTGAGAGAGTTGGGGTTGTTTATCCTGGGGAAGAGAAGGCTGTGAGGAGACCTTATTGCAGCCTTTCAGTACTTAAAGGGGGCCTACAGGAAGGATGGGGAGAATCTTTTTAACAAGGCCTGTTGTGACAGGACAAGGAATAATGGTTTTAAACTAAAGGAAGGTAGATCTAGACTAGACATTAGAAAGAAATTTTTTACAATGAGGGTGGTCAAGCACTGGCACAGGTTGCCCAGAGAGGTGGTGGAGGCCCCATCCCTGGCAACATTCAAGGTCAGGTTGGATGGGGCTCTGAGCAACCTGATCTGGTTAAAGCTGTCCCTGCTCAGTGCAGGGGGGTTGGGCTAGATGACCTCTAAAGGTCCCTTCCAACCCAAAGCATTCTATGATTCTATGATGAAAAAGTATGTAAAATCCTATTTGATCCTGGAGAAAAGTTTTTCAGGGGAAGTGTCCTTAATTTCTCTGCTGAGGCCAAAAACCAAAGGCTAATTCCTGATAATCCTCATTCATAAAAACAATTTATTCATATAAACATACCCTGCTGGATCATGATAGGAAGTCTGCATGTGTAAGTGTTGAAAAGATTAGATGTATGGATTGCCAATCATTAGAAGTTAGGTTACATGCACATGTCAGAATTCTGAAGAAAAAAGTGATCCAGCAAACTTGCAGAAATTGGTGTTTACCTGAGTGTGGCTCCCTCTGTCTGTATCACATCTCCCTCTTTAAGATAAAAATATTTATGTCCTCCTTGTATTATTTCTTCACGGTGAGGGACACGAGGAAGCTTACAGATGCGATATTCAGAGTCTATTTAAAGAAATAGCAAAGAAAATGATGCTTTGAATTTGTCACTAACAAAGCTAATTCCATAGAAAGGCTACTTTTTGAACAAGTACTATTAATTATTACACAGTATGAATACAAAACTAGAAACAAGAAATCCTGTACAGAAACTTTATGTTTATAAAGCAACCTTATTCCAGAGCCAAAAACACTTAATAGTGAAAGCCACTGAATCTGAATACTGTACTCAGTACCAGCAGCAATTTTGAAGACGAAAAAGGACAAGTGAAATTAATAAAGAAATGTCAGTAATTATTATATTTTACAGATGTTCCTTCTTGACTCATCAAGAGCCAAGACCCCCCAGCTTCTACAACAAGACTAAGATTTCTGTGCTCACGTTCTGCATTATGATTCACAGAAGCACCACTCAACATTTGCCTAACACTGGGTGGAGGCTTTTTGACCTGCAACTTCCCTCAGTGTCTATCGTTCTGAACTGTGCATGAACTGTGAATGCCTTGGCTGGAATAGCTATGGATAGCAACCCAGAAAGGTATTTATATCTCTTGCTAGTCTTTACAACCATGCTCATGGGTTGACAAGACCAAAATCCTCACAAAGACACCAATGTTGTTTTCAGTAGTGCCCAGGCTTCTTTGCAGATAAGCACCTGGCAACTTTACAAAATCTGATAAAAGCCTGTGACAAAGTTTGTGACAAAGTCCAATGATGCTAAGAACCACCACATGATCCATACTGCTTATGCTCTTCCAGATACTAAAGCAGAAATGTCTGACTTGATCAACATGAAACACACATTTTTAGATCAGAACTTACCTGCAGACTGCCCTACCCTCTTCCCCCTCATGATCTGAGGCCTATGAATTTGTTAGCAATTACTAATGGTCTGCTGTAAGGAATCTCAAAGTTATATATGGTTCTTTTCCAGAGACTAAGTTATTCATTGTTTTTACACAAGCGATAATAATGGTCAATTTGTTGTTACTGTCAATGTAGAAAGGAACGAGTATCAAGTTTTTTTCAATTCTCTTAATATCATGTAAACTGCTGATGGTAACCTAAGTTCTCATTATTCACACATAAGAAAATTCACTATGAAGGTATGCACAGGTATTGAAGAAAAACTAGAGTACTACAACTACAATGTTCAGATTATTCGTTGCTCTCATTCTACACACTGCAACAGCACCATGAAATTACACGTAGTTTATATAGAGATTCCAGAAGAATAATCCAGCTGATTTCCAGAGAAGCACTCAGGAATCTTGCCATGTATCTAACATTGTCAACAATATCCGAAATATCTGGCCTACCATTAGGGATGTTTGTGCAGATATCACATATTCCACCAGAATGATCATAATGCCAGTGCGTCACTAAAATTTCTTGAATTGAGATGTTGAACTGTGACATTGCCTGCTTCAAACAGCCAATATATTCAGGAATAGATGGCTCCCCAGTGTCAATAAGGACTCTTCTACACGTGGACCAAAAAAAAAAAAAGAAGGAAAAAAAACAGTGAGGGAATTTAGAGCGCTCATGTGACAGATAAATAATGTTAAAAAACCAACGCAATACTGTATGGGAATGAGGTGGCAGTATGGATCTGTCCACATTCCAGACGCCACCTCTTCCCTCCATAATACTCAACCTCCGTGGCATAACAATTTACTAAGGGGGATAAATAATAAATTTAGTCCACACATTTGCGACACCCGGGCAAGTCGCAGGAGCTACCGCCGGGGA